AAAATATCATATTCGGAATCAGGATCAAAAACTGAGTCGATTGATATGTATTTCTATCCTATCCGACTATTTTGGTTTTTTCCGAATTTTCACATTGAAAAATTACCGGGATATTCACCCAAAATTGAAAATCAATTGAAAATTGTGAAATACATATCAATCGACTCAGTTTTTGATCCTGATTCCCAATATGATATTTTTATAGTATAAAAGGTGAGTTCCGATCGAGAAAATTGAGAATTATCAGCAGAATTCCTCTGATTTAGAAAAGATGAATTTTCTCATCTTCTGCTAATCAACAAAATTTTTAAAAAAAGTTCTACTTACTTTTAAAGCTGACGTGTTAGCCGATCTGATGGTGTATGGATCATCAGTATAGCCCTTCATCCAACAAACTAGATAAGTTCACAAAATGAGTCCCCCGGTTCTGAAACCTTTCGGTTCGGACGTCCATGGCGGACGAATACTTACTGAAAACCTTTTTATAAATCAGTTTTCAATGCTGGTTCAGAAAAATATAGTTCGAATTTTCCATCTTGTAGTATAACCACAAAAAGTTAATTTCGTCATAGTAACCGTTTTTTTGTATTTCTGAGGTCCTCTCAGTAATCTGAGTTCTTCTCCATGAAGAAATGGCTTTTGGAGGCTCGAAAGGTGTTATTCATGATCAACTCGTTGAGCTAAATCCGAATATGTACAATAAACTGAAAAATAAATTTCACTGCAAGTTTGCATTACGTGCATCTTAATTAAATGTCTTTTATGATCAAATAAATTTTTTGAATATGCGTGGTTGTTGTTTTCAATATAGACACATGCGTTTTACAGCAGAAAAACTCTGTAGAAAACTGTAAAAGGTTTTCGAATGAACTTATAATCAGGACCGAGAGGAGAATGTATATAGAAAATAAAAAGATTATCGTCATTCTTTTCCTTCCTCAATTAGAAAGAATTAAATTGAAGCGATGTATGAGCCATTGCATGTAGAAAGTACCGATTTTAAAAGCCCATGCAACTTCGTTTAACATGGTGTTAAACTTGGTATCTTTCAGATGCAATGACTCATACATCGCTCCAATTTAATTCTTTCTCTTTCAGAAAAGAAAAAGAACGATGGCAAGCTTTTTATTTTCTATACGCATCACACCATACGTCAGACAAAACATTTGTAACTAATGTGAAAGAACTAACAAATTCTCTTTTGTTGTGAAACAAAAAACGAAACTATGACATTTTATGAGGTAAAGTTTACGGGCACCGCAATCATAATATTAATACACATACAGATCGTTAACAACAATATATAAGAAAACAATAAAGTTTCTCAAGACATCTTTATTATCATGGACACATTTTTGAAAAGTCTAACAGAACAAGATGGAAAATATGAACAACGATTTAAAGAGAATTTTCCAAAAATTATAGAAACTATTCATAATCTAGTACTGTTAAATTCAGAAATTAACAACATAGATGTGGCTTGGGGGTTTGTTGATCTAATTATTCAACATTTTTCATTAATAGCAAATGATATTAAAGCAATTGAATCAATTGTTCATATGTTAATTGATTTTTGTCAAAAAATATTTAAATTAAACGTTGATGAAAAATGGATGGAAAAGTTTATGTATTTGATTTTGCGTCCAATTGCTTACAAACTCATAGAAATTAAATCAAAACAGCTTGCTATATTATATGTTGATCTAATTCTTTCAATTCTTAATTTACGTGTAGTAAATGCGCCAGAATGGGCCTGTCGTTTTTTGAATAAACAGGAGTTTTATCCATGGAAAGATATAGCATCAAATAAAATACCCGAACTGATACAATCATGTTTGCAATATGATACATTTGATATTACAAATTTATCAGGTAATGATTGTGTACCTTTAAAACAGCTCGCAAGTATATTAGATTTATTATATGAAAGAAGTAAAACACAGACAATAATACTTAAATATAGTCATCCAATTGCTGTGGAATACACAATGAAATGGATAAATCAAATACCAGATGAATTAAAAACACAAGTTTTATCAATGGGCAGTAGTTTATTATATTTAATTGATCGATCACAAGTGGATATTGTATCATTGGGCAAACTAATGGATCTATTTAATAAAGTAGTGGAAAATTACGAAATAGATTTAACAAATGGCCCTTTAACTGCATACTACATTGTAAGTAGACAGAGATTGTGCTGAAGAGTAAACTGTTAGAGGGTTGGAGCTAACAAGTTTCAAATGTTTTACCTATGAAGTTTAAGTAAGTAAAGGATGTGACGAAAAAATGACGAAACAGATAAGGGATCGAAGCCAACCAAGCAAAAATACTCTATAGAGAAAATCTAGTTCTAGATACTACATAACCGGGCGGTTACTCACTCGATGAATCTAGTTAAATGTACCTTTTTACCTAGTTAACTAGCTTCAATCTAGTAGTAAACCGAGCACTACGTTATCATAATGGAATAGGAGCGAGAGGGTGGCATCTAGGTTAACTATCCGCTTAAGCTAGCTCCGAGCAGAATATATTTTATAAGAGGGAGGGTGTCAGACAGGTTGACTTACCGGTAACTGTACACTCTAAGCTAGCTTAAAAGATAAAAAGAAAGAATATGTGCTTAAGGGGGGAGCGGATAACCAACCCCAGTTTTTTTCATAACTTTGTAGAGCGCCTCAAGTTGTATATACCCTGAAGTGCTTTCGATGAACAGAGTTGTAATTGCTGAGAAAAGAAATTTTTACGAATTTCATACGATTTTGAGCCTCTATTTAAAAAATTTATAAAAAATTCAAAATTAAAGCTGGAACTCTTATTCTTACGCAGTTCGACAGAGCACATTAAGTGGCATACATCCACGAGTTATAATGAAAATTGAACCAACAGTGTCTGAGAAAATTAACAATTTTGATTCTAGTGCAGTTTGAGCCCTTAAAGTAATTTTTTGAAACTTATGCGCAGATTTCCAAAACAACGAAGTATTTTGAAGAAAACTTTTCGCTGACAAAGTTGTTCAGGATAATCCTCTCCATAGGATAAGCGGAGCACTTTTTCCATTTTTACTGGGAAAATTTACATAAATTTTAAACAAATTTACAGCTCAAAATTTATTATTTGTCATTTATTTTAAAATTTTTCCAGTAAAATGAAAAAAGTGCGGAGAGGATTATCCTGAACAACTTTGTCAGCGAAATGTTTTCTACAAAATGCTTCGTTCTTTTGGAAATCTGTGCATAAGTTTGTGTACCAGGTGATGAAAAAAATCGAATTTACGTGGAAGTGCGATTTTACCTAATATAGGTTTTCAGTAGGTTTTTGAATTTTTTTCGAAGAACAAACATTGCCTCGAGGCTCAGCGTGATGGATAACCCAATTTCCATTCATTTTCGAGATTGCCACGCCTAAGGAAATATCGATCCTGGGGCTTTCAGAAAATTCAATGCCGTGCCTAAATTACGAAAGATTAAGAGATCGCTTAGTTCTCATTCTGTAGAGAAAATTTTAGGCTATCATACCTATATGAGAAGCACAGGGATCACTCTGGTAGATCTTGGAACCACGACCCACTCTTTCAAAGACTAATAAGGTATACCACCTGCAGGTATTTTTTTGCGAGATATTTTTATGTCAACTTGTAGCTATTTATCTCCTCTATGTAATGCTAAAAATCGCAAGTCTTCGAAGTACATTGTTCAAAAGTTATTAAAGAAATAGCCACGGACATTCATTTTTAATAATATAACGGGTGTGGCAGAGGAAGTGAGACTTTTAGTATTTTTCATTTTTCTCGTGTTCCTTTAAGATCCTAAGGTTAATGTTTGTTTCTAAAAGATGCGCCGCGAAATACTCTACAAAATCATGCCTAAACTTTAATTTCAGAGCTTCAATCAAGAAAACTAAGCAAAATTATACGAAAGGCGAAAAAAATGAAAACTTTCTAAATTTGGTGTGTTTTTCCGCTTGAATTTTTTCTTCTGCTATTATTTCCGTAGAAAAGTGTAGCAAAAGTGAGAACTCACTTTTGAATGTGCTCTTTCTCGTGGTCTGTAAAAAAATGTTTTTAGAGCAGATGGTGTGCTCGAAAATGAAGTTTGAAAATATGTCAGAAATTGACAACCTGTCGTTTTCAGCAGTGTGCTCGAGCAACAAACGGAAAACATGATCTCCAAGTTTTGATTTTGCAGTTAGGTAGAGAAGAGCGATCATCTCTGATAAAAACAAAACAAATCCGATCAAAAAATCGTTTCTTTTGATGGAGTTATGGAACTTTACTGAAAGCACCACCACCAAAAACCTACATTCATGACAAATGAAAAAACATAATATAGGATTTTGTAGCGCTTGAGTAGCCGATTCGAATGATATATTATTCGTTATATTTGAGTAAAAGGGGTTGAAGAAAAAATAATGCAAACGACCAGACTACATTGAACTGGCATCAGTTTTAGAAAAAAGATTTATAAAAAGTCTGTTAGATAGAAATTTATTTTCCCTTTTTTTATACACATAATAACTATGTGTACACGTAATAACTATGTATAATTGTGCATCTAAGCATACTTGAACCAAATTTTTGTCAATATTCCTGAATGATTTATGAAATATCGAAAATCAGCCACTAAGCCGAAAATTTTGACCAAAGTCCAACGTTAAAAAATTCATAACTTCACCAATATTCATAGGACCGCCGAAATTTCTTGAAGATACATAGTACTCAACGCACTCTACAAACTGGTATAATTTGAGGATAGGTTTGGGTGGTTACGCCCCCCTCCATCAATGAGAATCGAACTCGCTGACTAACTCACTATCAGAATTGAGATTAGAAGTACGCGACGTTTTAGCCAACTAATAAGCTACCAAGCACACATATAGTAGTTAATAAGTGATGAAATTATTGAGAAGTTTTTTTTAGATCGACGTTTTCTGTTAGAAGAAAACATTTTTGAGAGTTAAATCCTGAATTTAAATGTAGCAGATTTAATTTTCTAAATTTTATGTGTTGGAATCAGATTTTCAGCAATCGTTCTTCATGGTGAAAAACGGTAAATACCGTTTTACACCGTGAAGATCGATTTGTACAAAGTTGAGTCCAGCAGATGAAGTTTATAAAATTAAATTTACTACATTTTTTGTCTCTAGAAAAGAGAATATTATCAATAAAAGTATTTTTGACTGTAGTTAGAACAGAAAAGGCGTTTGTTAAGTCAAAAATACCTAAAAGAAAAGAAAGACTTGTGCATGTTATTTTTTTAACAGTTTTGAAATTGAAATCTTCTATGACTATTATAGAAGAATCTTTCTTTATATGCGATAACAGAAAATTTTGAAGATCATCAAAGAACACCGGCAATCTTCGAGGACGACGGTAAGTATTACATAGATAGAAAACACGTGTATTAAGAGTTAGAGAACGACGAATAAACTCTGTGTCAGACGATGATGCCAAAAAGAAGTGTTTGATATCACTTCTCACATAAATTACAACGCTCAGGGACCTGAGTAGGTGCCGGACATTGGGGGGAGGGGGCTGTAACGAAAGTTTTTTGTCCGAGATAGTGTAAACTTTATTTTAAATTTCACGTTCGAGGTGGTGTAAACTCTGTTTTTTGCATAGTTACTCAGTAATTACCTTGTTACTGTTCTTTTAAATTTTGGGGCAGGTACGCACCCTCTAAGGAACAAAATCAGCAGCCAAAGCATCTAGAGCAGTCTGTTGAGTCAGGAAGTGAGAATCAAACACGTTATTAGAGAGAGTATGCAAATCTTCTCAGCACTAGACAAACTAGTGTTCTGTTTCTAAATACTAATTTCGTATTTTTGCCGGTTGAATTTTTCCAATTTTTTTCAAGCAATCTGAAAATCTATCGTTTCCATTAAAAATCCATGAATTTTTGACGCTACGCTCATTTCGAAAAAAAAAGTTATCTTCTCAATTACGAAAGAATCAGGCTGTACGCTACTTGGGAAAAATATCATAGTCCCATATAACGAATGTGTTCAATGATCCTATGAATAAAAAACATTTTCTCATTTCATTTTAGAGTTTTTCCTGTTGTATAAGCGATTGTTTAACAAAACAGAAAACAATTCCACGAATGCTTCATCAAAAATTATCAAAATTTTGTCGCACAACTATTGATCTATCACTAATATTAGAAACTGGCAACAACACTTTCCCATACTTTGCATTAAATAATATTTGGTATCAAAGTGGAACATCTACAGAAACAATCGATGATGCAAAATTATATGTAGAATGTGCTGATGTCATGCACAAACGTAGTGAAGAAATAGAATCTTTATATTCCATGTGGAAGACGTTTTGGCAGTCAATAGTAATGAAATATCCAGACTTAGCTAGTGATCATACTGAACAATTTTTAAATGATTTTATTGACCATAAACAAATGTCCATGCTAATGATTCTTCAGGTTTGTATCGCTTTTATTCACCAATTATCGACTGGTGTTCACAGTTTATTGACGCTGCGGTCTTAGGGGTTTGAAATAATATTCATTGATAAAATTTGAGGATATATGCACACAAGAATGAAAAATCTTGTCAAAGCAGTTTTAGTATGGAAAATTTAGTCTTTAATAAGGTAAAGCTGACACTACCGTTTGTTCATCAGTTTTGAATCGGAATGGCTTAATACCCAATGTCTAATACTTTTACCTGCATCAATCATAATTTAGTCAAGAAAAGTTGATTCAAGTTGTGCACACCTCAATTTCTTCTACCAGAGTCCACAGCACTCAACGTATATCAGTTGCAGTAAACTGGTATTTCAAATAACTGAGGTATCATGGTGCACAAGTTTTCTTAAGCTTGTACAACATTCGTCATCCTGTTGTACTAGATTGAGTATCCTTCGAATTTGTGACATAGATTGACTGCGATGAAAATATACAAATTATCATTGCTTTTTATATATTTATCGTGCAGGAATATCAATAAGTTTTACAATTTCTTAAACGAAACTGCTGAGTTATAGTTCTCCTTGCCGCAGGACGCTTTTGTTGTTTTCGTTTCGTCCTTTTTCCACGTCATATATATCTTAGGTTTTGATGACACGAAGAGATCATACGTTTATAGTGACTTTTCGCTTTCCTTTTGTTCTTCTGACGTCATTAATCTTGTCCTTTCTCGTGTGTTCCATATAAATGTATATAGATAGATATACGTTTTTTCTGTACATCTTTGTTACCGAATGAAGTGACAAAGATAGAAAATACTAAAAGTCAAGATTAGATTTGGGACATAACGAAACAAAGCATGATGTCTTTTTCTCTCCGGTTTTGATTTTCCTTTGTTGTTCTTTTCCGGTTCTTCCTGATGTTTATCGGTTTTTATCCAAATTAATAATAAATATGCTGTAATAAATGCTATTGGTTGATATTGTTGTTAATATATTCAACTATAGGTTGATCAATTGATGTTGATAAAATCTTCGCTGAAAAAATAAAGTTCATGTTAAATGATAACATATGGTCCGGTATATCGTTGTGTTAGTTTTGACATATAAATCCATAAAACTGCGTCATTGAGATTAAAAATTGGATTGCTTCTACCTTTAACCTAACGACTTTTGTATAATTGTTGTTCATATAATATATTTGTTGTTGTTGTTGCTGCTGCTGCAGTATGTTTTCTTCAATTTAATGATTCGTGACCAATAATCGTTTGTTCTGATGAACGTAATTATTGGTGTTGGTTTCTCTAATGATAATTTTGGTTCAGATCTATACATCCGTTGATATGGTGTAAAGCTAGTTGTTGCATGTTTGCCGGTATTATATGCGTAAATGACTGCTGGTAAATAATCATCGTAATTATTAATATTTTCAGCATATAGTTTTACTAATTGAGCATAAAATGTTGCATTGGATCGTTCAACTTGGCCATTTGTTTATGGATGGTAGGGAGTTACTTTAATGTGATTAACTCCAACAATAATGTCACATTTTTCATTAATTCGTTATTAAAATGGACTCCAGTATCGATTACAAGACGATTAGGCACACCGTGTTGAAGGATGAATTCGAATGAATACGAATAGATACTGCTTTCTTTGACCGGTTACAGAACGGTGACGATGACAATCGTCAATACTCCGCATTTTGAAGACATTCCGCAGTACATTAGCAGCTAGGGCGGAGCGAAGGATGAAGACAGGAACTTAACAAAATCTGAAATTTTTCATACAGATGCGTAGGGTAGGGCTGTAAGAAAAATGGGTATTTGTAAACCACGCCTCCACCCACTCCCAGCCCCAAACTAAATTTTAATTACATGGTTGGATAGAGGATGCCAAGTTGTCTTCACACACGCGTACAAACTAACCTCTAGTCATATGGTTGGATAGAGGATGATGAGTTGTCCTTATGTCTCCCCACATCTCATCCAGAAATTCCTTCTAAAGAAACAAAAGGTTTGTTTTTTTTGTATTATGATAGCATATTACTCTATATTGTCTAGTTACCTTTAAGTGATTAATGATAGTGATAATATCGTTCATCTATACACATATTCAGAGTCTTCAAAGTCAATTGATGATGAATCATTGTCAATATGTCTGTCTATTTACCACTAATGAACTATAAATCTGAACTTATGAACACTAATACTATTGTCTGTCCAAAAATTCAGTGGACTCGAATATTTTTTGAATAACTAGAGAACGGAATAAGCTACAGAGCGGTGGTTTTCAGATTATGAAAGAGCACAATCGGGGACATAATCCTGTAGTAAAAGGAATCTTATCGGACAGGTCTACCGCGGTGTACCATTCGAAGCAATAACTCCGCGTCTGTCATTCCTGAAATACACATAGCGAATTATTCCACTAAATACGTGCCGATATAGAGCAGATATCGTTCCACAACATGGCGCAAGTTTCAGATCTCCATCTACCATGGTTCGGATGCTACAGGGAATCTCCGAGGACCTACCTATTGGCCAACTCTGAGCTCTAGGAACCTCAAAAATACATGGTACATAGACTATCGAACTCGCTGATTACTGTGGCAATGTTTGTTTTGTTGTCTGGATTAAGAGAACTGCAGACGATTCTTTCAGAAAATATGATTTTAGTATGATCACAGTGGAAAAATTTTTGTATTACGATAGCATATTACTCTATATTGTCTAGTTATCTTTAAGTGATTAATGATAGTGATATCGTTTATCTATACACATATACAGACTTTTCAAAGTCAGTTGATAATGAATCATTATGAATGTGTTTATCTATTTATCACTAATGAACTATAAATATGAACTCATGAACACTTTAATACAATGAAACAAAAAGCTAAACAGATATGTAATGTCAATAATTGAG